GAAGGGAAGGGAACTAGAGGAGGAGAGAAGAGAAAAGGAACAAGTTAGAAACAGACTACAGCAACAACTTGAAGGAAGAGAACGACAACTTGAACAAGCACAGCAACAAGGACAAGAAAGAGAGAGGCAGGCCAGGGAACAAGAGCAGAATCTTCAACGACAGCTTCAAGAAAGAGAGAGGGAAGTTCAACAGGCCAGGGAACAAGAGCAACAGCTTCAGAGGGAAATTCAACAGGCTGGGGAAAGAGAACAGGGTCTTCAACAACAACTTCGAGAAAGTCAACAACAATTCCAGAGGGAAATTGAACAATCACGGCAACAAGGACAAGAAAGAGAGAGGCAAGTTCAGAATCTTCAACAACAGCTTCAAGAAAGAGAGAGGGAAATTCAAGAGGGTGAGGAAAGAGAACAGGGTCTTCAAGGACAGCTTCAACAAGCTCAGCAGCAGCTTCAGGAAAGTCAAGAAAGAGAGAGAGGCCTAGAGCAGCAACTAAGAGAGAGAGATAGACAAGAGAGAGAGTCTTCCTGGGTAGTTAGCAGAAATGATATTAGAATGACAGAAAGGATTCTAGGGAGAGGAGGATGGGGAGAGGTCAGAGTAGCTCGTTTCCATGGACTGGAAGTTGCTGCAAAGGTACTTCACGAGACCATCATATCAGAATATAATGTGTCACTGTTCTCTCGGGAAATGAATATTGCTTCTAAAATACGTCATCCTAACCTCCTTCAGTTCATAGGAGCGACTACAGAGGGTAATCCAATGATCCTGACAGAGCTAATGCCGACCAGCCTAAGAAAGGAATTAGAGACTGGAGGACTGGCCTATCCTGCCATACTGAGCATCAGTTTAGATGTAGCCTGTGCTCTCAATTACCTTCATCTCTTCAAGCCTCATCCTATACTACATAGAGATGTCAGCAGTGCTAATGTACTCCTTCAACCAATGGGAGGTGGACATGGAGGCTTAAGGGCTAAAGTATCTGATTATGGATCAGCTAATCTTCAGCATCTTATAATTAGGTCAGTCAATCCTGGTGGCCCACTTTATGCAGCACCTGAAGCAGGGAATCCAAGGGAACACTCTCCTTCAATGGATGTGTTCAGTTATGGTGTCCTCCTTCTAGAGATGATAACACGACGTATTCCTCTACCAGAAGAGAGAGTAGGTCTTATTGATGGTATTAGAAGAGCCTCGTTTAGGTCTCTTGTTCAACGCTGCCTGTTAGTTGAGTATAGACACCGTCCAACAATGAATGATATTATAACTGAACTAAATGACACTATTTAATGCTAACCTGTTTGTAGCTTTGGAGTTAGTAATTTTTCTATTTTTTGTATTTTGATGCTTAGTTTAAAATTGATTAAAATAAACATTTATTTTTCTAAAATTTAAATTTTAGATTTAACTTTAAATTTCTTACAGTGTGTCCTCTTAATACACTCTGCAAGTACTGAATCAACTGGAGGGGAATAGACCTCTCGTCCACTGATGTACAGGGTCAAAGCTCCAAGTAGAGTCCATTCCTTATTGTTATAATGTATACTGTATATGTATCTGTACTGTA